CTAGCAACCCTGTATAGGGTTTCCAAGGCTGTAATAGAAAGCCTCATCTTTCTACTAAAGAGCAACTGGTGGATTCTAACTGGTTAAAAGTACAACACACAATCCATTATCCCACCAGGACTCCTAAAGAGGGCCAAAAGGACTCTATCTAGATAAAAGGGCCAAAGGCCAAGACCTTGGACACGTGGAGACTACAAGATCAAGCAGAGAGCAAAGGAGAATGAAGAACAGGAAACCAGGAGGGTGTGGAGTCTTGAAAACCTATAGAAGGTGGCATGTCCAGGAGAGAGTCGATAACTATGTACAATGCAGGTAAGCAGCAGAGTAGACCAGGGCAGAGAATTTACTGTTGGGTTCCACCAAGATGGTGGTCTTTGAAGACCTTGATTAAATATGTTTCCATGGTGTGGACTGAGGGAAATCTGGGAATTCAGGAGGTGAGTCAGTGAGAATAAACAACTGGATGGAGGACCTTTGTTCAAAGGGATATAAGGCAGCATTTATTTGCTGGAGAGAGGGTTGTGGAATCAAGGAAGTTCTCTTAAAAGATCACTATTAAAACCTATAAGGAGCTCTGGTAGCGTAGTGGTTATGAACCGGGCTGCTAACCTCAAGGTCAGCAGTTCGAAACTACCAGCGGTTCCATGGGAGAAAGATGAGGCATTCTGTTCCCGTAAAGATTTACAGCCTCGGAAACCCTGTGCAGGGTCACTATGAGTCAGAATCTATTCCACGGTACTTAACAACAATTAAAACCTATTAGATAGGATGAGGCATTGTTGTTAAATGCTGTCAGGTCAGTTCCGACTCATAGTCCCCTATATGTTTCCGAGGAGCATCTGGTGGGTTTGAATCGTGGACTCTGTGGTTTGCAATCCAGTGCTGAGCCTACAGTGCCACACCAGGTGTCCAGGATGAGGCATTAGAGGAGAGGAAAGAGAGAACCGTTGGGGAGAAGTCCTCCATAGGGGAAGGGTTACAAGCAGGCCTCACAGATGTAAAGGCAGAAAATAGGGACTAGCCTTGGTCTGGATGATATGAAGCTAATTAGGAGATTTTATATACACTTAGCTTGCTATTTTTATAGTGGTAGGGAACAAATGATCTAAAAAATAATTTTTCAACAATTGGTTTCTTCAGTAAATTTCAGGTTTACAGATTTTTGCTTCTAGTATGAAAATTGACTCAGTTGTAAACAGTATGCTTACCTTTAAAAATACTCAACAGCCTGTTCAATTTTAAAGCAAACAATCAACCCCACTCAAAACCAATAAAAAGACCATCCTTTTCAAACTATTTTATTAGAGATACAGATATCATAGGCAGCACAACTCGAAAACACTTAGCTGATAAGGGGAATTTGTCCCTCCTGTCTGACTGAAATCCCTGTCAGGAAGGCAAGCATGGTGTTCTCAGCACTGTTCCCAAACATTCCCTTTCTCCTTCCAGCAGTGCAAGATTGCGCTCACCTGTCCTATCTAAGGTGGTTGTTATTGGGTGCTATCCAGGAATCTCCAGTTAATTAATTTACTCCAGAGTAAAACTGCCCTGTGGAGTTTTCTAGATTACAATCTTGATGGAGCAGATCGCTAGGTCTTTCTCCCTTGAAGCACCTGGGTATGCTCGAACCACCAACTTTCAGCTAACAACTTAGTGCTTAACCATCGTGCAAATGGGGCTCCTTCCTCTGAGTTTAGGCATAGTAATGTGACTTGTTTTGACAGTGACATGTGAGCAGAGGAGTTTTTAAAGCACAATATGTCCAGGTCCCAGTTCTTTCCTACTCCAGTGATAACAGTTTTACAGCAGTCCAGCCTGAATGATGCTGATGAGAACAACATCCCTGCTGACTGGCACTGGACATGCAGTGTGAACACGGAAAACACTCCAAGTCACTGAGACTTGGGAGACATTGGTTGTACAGCATGCCTCCACCATAGCCTGAGTGACATGGTGAACTTGTCTAGCTGCCACACAGGATGGATGATGGTGCCACTCTCTCTGAGACACACTACTATTAATGAGATAACAGGAGAGGGCTATATGGCAGGGAACTAACTGGTTCTGTCTGGGCATGTTGAGTTTGAGGCCAGTTGAGTTCATTGGCAATTGAAGAAATTACAGGACTAGATATGCTTGTCCAGGAAGAATAAGTAGAATGGAAAGATAAGTTGGCTGAAGACACAGCTGTGGGGAACTCTGACATTTCAAGGGAGGGGCACAGAAAGAAGAGCTTATTATAAAGATGTATTTTCCTTCAAAATTTTGAAAATGGCACCAAAGTTCATATAGATTTCACTATATATATATAGACAATGAACAGAATGAACAAATTCACATGATTTATCCAGGACACACAAATATGTCAGAAAAGCAAAGCAATGACCATCTATCCTAGGCTGGAAAAAAGTCTATCAGCTATACCAGAAATATCCCAATAGGGCATTTATTGTTGTTAAGTGCCTTTCAATCAGTTCTGACCCACGGTGACCCTGCCTAGGGTTTCTGAGGAGCAGCTGGTTGAACCACCGACCTTACGGTTCAAACCAACTTTGCAGTCCAGCACATTAACCCACAGTGCCACACCAGGACTCCAATAGGAGGTTAGAGGCTGTCGGAAGGTGCTCAGCTGCTAACTGAAAGGTCACCATTTGAACCCACCAGCCACTCAGCTGCAGAAAGCTATGGTGGTCAGCTTCTGTGTGATCTGCAGCCTTGAGAACCCTATGGAGCAGTTGATTCTGTCCTACAGGGTCACTGTTGGTTGGGATTGACTTGATGATGGTAGGTTTGGCTTTCGGTTTGCTATTTCATTTGTAAGCTAGGTAAATGTCTACTCTCAAACATATTAAGGCATTACTTGGGCTGGTAGAATAAGAATGAAAGTATATTCAAGACTGAAAGATACAATCAAACCAAAGGTCATTTTTGAAGCTTGCGGCTCACTATTCGAACTTAGCTTCCCCACATCCCAGCTATCTAATCGACCATCCGTGGTATTGACTGCACATTGCTTTTGAAAGACCACATACGTAGGTAATTCAACAACCAGGTCTTGAAGATTTCGGTAATCATGAGGAACCAATCCCCACTCATCTCCTATTCTGAAAAGTACTTTTCACCTGGGTTTGGGGAAATATCCTGCCTGCTGTTACCACACAAGGTACTAGGAAACATCACCCGGGAGGGGACTGGTGAGAGTGGAGAAGAGAGAGCATGACTGGGTGTTTATATGGAAGAGGTGAGGACAGCACTGATACTTAACGCCTCTACAAGGAACACAGAAGCTATAATGTTTACAAACACTTTATTCAGCCCACTACAGTAGGCAAGTGCCCAGCTAAGTTACAAAGATACAAGCGAGGTATTCTGGGTTAATGCAAGAACCAGTGGGTTACACATAGGGCTTTGAGCATCAAGGCCAAGGAGAAAGCACCGTGGTTCAAAATCAGACCTGCCAGAGATAGCTACTGTCCCAACACTGACAGACACTTTCTGATCACAGCTGGTCACACCGGAAGGCAAGTTTTCAACATGACATCATTTTAATGAAGTTAGAAGAACAGGTATTAAACAAATGGAAACTGTAACGCAGTGCATCTTTGCTGTTCTTGCTTTGGAAGTCACATAATGGCACGTGAATAAGAACATCCTGGTAACAATGAGCCACAGAGTGGGGAAGCCTCTATGTGGCTCCCAAGTGCCTCCATGCCAGGTTCCCTTCTTTCATACTTGCACTCCTGCCTTTAAGTCAGATGCCCTGATGTTGAAAGTCTCACAGTACCCAACAAAGTCTCTCAGATAGCAGCAGCTATTCCTGAGGAGCATCCCGGGCAGATGGTCTATGACATCACAGTGTCCCTGGCTAGCTAACCTCTGTGAAGTCATCACCCTTGATCAATGCCTAATTGAAAGCAAAATTTAGAAGACTGATTCAGGAAGTAGACTGGGCCAGATAATGATCAAATGCACAGAAGGTCTTACTTGTAGCTACCAAACGGTTTCTCACATAATTATTAGAAATACATTGGCGTTCAGAGCTGGTAATCTGTAAACTGCTGGATAAAACTCCCTATGCACAGGTCTGAGATGGACAGAGCCTAGCAACAAACCGCTAGCCCCTCGGAAAGTGCTGAATTGGGAGTCACACTATGTACAGTATCTCAAAGGCAAGAACGGCCTGCCAAGATGTAAAGGGTTCAACACAGTATTACTGTTTCAGTGTTGAAGGAAACTCTTTAAGCTCCATTTGGCACTTTTCTGAGTTTTAACTGTCAGGAACAGACTTTGGAAATATTTACTGGGATCTAACTTTTTTGGCAAAGTAGAAACTTTGGTCATAGCTATAGTTCCATAAAAAGAGTTCTTGTAAAGAGGTTATTTCTGATTAATATTTTAGCAAGTTACACATAACAATAACAAGAAGGTAAACATCTTTGTATCTAATGTAAAAGCAAAAATTCTTTACCAGCATCTTATTTTCAATACAGAGAAATCGTCAGTAGTGCTTATACACAGTAGTGCATTCTCTTAGAGGGGCTCAGAAAAGTATCAAAGTACATAAGGCACATACAGTTATTGTCACACATGTTCTTTCTGGAAGGCACAAGTTGGAAATCAGATTACCCAAAGGCTTTAAAATGTGGCTCTAAAGACAACATCATATGCAGAGGACAGCTACACTGGAACAAATTCCCTTAACTAATTAATCAGTGACAGAATTACTTCCAGATTATCCCACTATAACTTTAGAAGTCCTCTTCATCAGCCCATGTGTAAAGTTGTAAAGGCACTGTGCAAAATGTGGGCTGGGCGGAGTACGCTTCTACTGTGGAGTGCATATTAAAAAACAAAGGCATGTTTCATAGACATCAAACTTTGCATTAACCAAAAATAATCATTTTAGATATAAAAGTGGGTAAGCTTGGTAATATAGCAGGTTCTTAGTCAAAAGTCTTGAAGAAGTCTCTTGAGCAGCATGCTTGAATTTCACAGGATATTCACGAAGAGACACTCCACACTAACAATTGCATAGAGAAAATGAGGGGAAAACAGTCTTAGTGCAAATCTAGAATCAATATTAAATGCTGAAGTTTAAACAGGTAAATTTCCACACACAGATGATACACATTTAATTTGGCCCATTTCCTCCTTGTTATCTGTCTACCCACCATAGATGGCTACCAGTGACTGTCACATGGAAGGATTCTAGTAACATCCTTGTTAAAAGGAAACATCCACTAACGTCAACTTATCAATGAAAGGAAGATGCTTCTTTAAACAGTGCATAGTCTACAATGGTATCTGAGTGATGCAGATAATTAATGCACTGCTAATCGAAAGCTTGGTGATCTGAGTGCAGCCTGAGAGGCCACGGTAAACCCTCGGCAGCAGTCACAGAGTCACTATGAGTCAGAATCATTTCCATGGCAACTGGTTTGGTTTTGGTTATACATTTTTTATTATTATACTTAGACACTATCCTAAAGATAAGGTCCATATGCCTTACAAGGTGATCTAGAATTTTGAGCTCTTGGTGTGATGCTATAGGGTCAGCACTGGACTGTAAACCATATGGCTGGCAGTTCAAACCTACCAGATACTCCTTGGAAACTCTATACAGGGTTGCTATGAGTCAGAATCAACTCCAAAGCAATTAAGAACAACAACAAGAAAGGCAGCCAGTAAATGCCACTACTATTCAAATTTATGCACCAAACACTACAGCCAATGATGAAGAAATTGATCAGCACTGGACTGCAAACCACAAGATCAGCAGTTCAAACCCACCAGGTGCTACTCGGAAACACTATCCAGGGTTGCTGAGTCAGAACCAGCTTGATGGCACTTAACAACCCAACTTCTTCAGTTTGAAACTGATCAAACATGCAATCAAGATGTATTGATAATCCCTGGTGATTGGAATGTGAAAGTTGGGAACAAAAACGAAGGTTCAGTAGTTGGAAAATATGGCCTTGGTAATAGATTATATAACAGAATTTTGTAAGACCAATGACTTATTCATTGCAAACATCTTTGTCAACAACATTAATGGTAACTACATACTTGAACATTGCCAGATGGAACACATTCCTGTATCAAATCAACTTCATATATGGAAAGAGTAGATGGAGAAGTTCATCAGTCCAAACAAGGCCAGAGGCCAACTGTGGACCAGACCAACCATGAATAGCTCATCTTCAGGTTTAGGTTGAAGCTGAAGAAAATTAATGTCCTTAAGAGCAAAATATAGCACTGAATTTAGATATCATCTCAAGAGCAATTCTGATGTATTAGACACTAATGACTGAAGACCAGAGGAGTTCTGGGATGACTTCAAGACATTATAGTTGAAGAAAGCAAAAGGCCATTATAAATACAGGAAATAAAGAAAAGACCAAAATGGATGTCAGAAGAGACTTTGAAACTTGCTCTTGAAGATAAAGTAGCTAGAGTGAATAGAAAAGATGATGAAGTAAAAGAGCTACTGTAAAGTAAAACAGAAAATAAAGGGCAGCTGGAGAACACAAAGTATTTTAATGAAATGTGTGCAAGACCCAGAGTTAAAAAAACAAAATAAAAAGAACACACTCAACATTTCTCAAGCTACAAGAACTGAAGAAAAACTCTAAACTGGTGTGATGTTGTAGAAGCACTGAACTGCAAGGTCAGTTTCAACTGCAAGGTCGGTGGTTCAAACTTATCAGCTGCTCCTCAAAAACCCTACAAAAGGTTGCTAAGAGTCGGAACCGACTCGAAGGCACTTAACAACACCAACATGGGGACAATACTGCATGACACAGGAAGCACTGAAAGATGAAAGGAATACATAAAGTCACGGTACCAAAAAGAATTGGATGATGTCCAACCATTTCAAGAGACAGCATATGATCAATAATTGCTGGTACTGAAAGAAGTCCAAGCTGCACTGGTAAAAACAAAGCTCCAGGAATTGATGGACTACCAACCGAAAAGCATCAACAAACTGATGTAGTGCTAGAGACAATCACTCATCTATGCCAAGAAATCTGGAAGATAGCTACCTGGCCAATGGACTGGAAAAGATCCGTATGTGTGCCCATTCCAAAGAAAGGTAACCTAACAGAATGAAGGAATCATCAAACACTATCATTAATACCACGTGTAAGTAAATTTTTTCTGAAGATAATGTTTACTTGTGCTTTATCGATTATAACATTGTGGAGAATGGGTATTACAGACCACTTACTAGTGCTCATGAGGAATCTGTAAATAGACCAAGAAGTAGTTACTAGAACAGAGTAAGGGGATACTGATTCGTTTAAAATCAGGAAAGGTGTGCACCAAAGTTGTATCTTTTCACCACACTTATTCAATTTGTATGCTGAGCAAAAAATCTGAGAAGCTGGATTTTATGAAGAAGAACATGGCATCAGGATTTGAGGAAGAATCATTAACAACTTGCAATATGCAGACGACACAACCTTGCTTGCTGAAAGCAAAAAGGACTTTAAATATTTACTGATGAAGATCAAAGACTATAGCCTTCAGTATGAATTGCACCTCAATATAAAGAAACTGAAACCCCTCACAACTGGATTAGTAAATCGCATCATGATAAACAGAGAAAAGATTAAGATTGTGAAAGATTTTCATTTTACTTGGCTCCATAATCAACACTCATGGAAGCAGAAGTCAGAAAATCAAATGATGTTATTTCATGAGGCCAACCTGTCGTAAAAGATCTCTTTAGAGTGCTGAAGAGCAAAGATGTCTCTGTGAGGACTAAGGTGCGACTGACCCAAACCATGGTATTTTCATATTTTCATAAACATATGAAAACTGGACAATGAATAAGGAAGATTGTGGAAAAACTGATGTATTTAAGTTATGATGTTGGTGAAAACTACTGAATATACCATGGACTGCCAGAAGAACAAACACAAATCTGCTTTGGAAGAAGTATGGCTGATGAAGTATGTTGAAACTTCATCTCTCATACTTTGGACATGTTGTCAGGAAGCAGTTCCTATAGACTGATTATGCTTGGTAAAGTGGAGTGTCAGCAAAAAAAAAGAGGAAGACCCCCAACAAGATGGACTGATACAGTGGCTTCAACAATGGGCTCAAACATAACCACACTTGGGAGGATCGTGCTGGAGCACCAGTGTTTTGTTCTGTTGTGTATAGGGTCTCTATGAATCAGAACTAACTGGGTGGCACCTAACAACAACTTCTTAAGCACTTCTCATGCATTAACTAATCTGATACTCATAACAAGCAGAGGAGGCAGGTATTATTATTTCCACCCCCCACCCTTAGCAACAAGGAAACTGAGGCTTACACACATCACATTACAGTAAATTCAGGTTACAGATGTCCAACTCCCAGACAACTCCTGCTTGCCCTTTAGGTAAATCTGTCCTCACTTTGAAACAGTTGCAACAATCCTTTGTCACAATCACCTTTACTCACTGTACATACAGCTTTTAAATCATTGAAAAGCTTTGGGATCTTTTCTTGCACTAACCAAACCCAAGCCAAACCCACTGCCATCGAGTCGATTCAGAGAGACCCTATAAGATAAAGTAGAACTGCTCCATAGAGTTTCTGATGCCGTAAATATTTATGGGAGCAGACTGCCTCATTTTTATCCCTTGAAGAAGCAGCTGGTGAGTTCAAACTGTTTAACTTTTGGCTAGCAGCCCAACACTTAATCTACCATATTACCAGGGCTGGTTCTTCTTGTACTACAACTGTTTCTGAGACTTTAATAAGGGAACAGACAGCCTCATCTTTCTTATGCAGAGCTGCTGGTGGGTTTGAACCACCAACCTTGCAGTTAGCAGCCCCACAGTCATAGCCCACGGTGCCATCAGAGTTCCTTCTTCTTTCAGTAACCCACTGCCATTGGATTGATTCTGACTCACAGTGACCCAATAGGATAGATCTTTCCCTTTGGGTTTCCAAGACTATTAACCTTTACTGGAGCACACAGCCTGAGCTTCCCCATGAAGTGGCTGCTGGGTTTGAACCACCAACCTTGCAGTTAGCAACCCAAAATGTTTAACCACACCCACCTTTCTTGCACTAAAGTTAGACTAAATAAGAACCATATGCACCTGTTCTGACTAACCCAAGAATTTTTACAAACACAGTTAGGAATGGAACTCATTCATAACCTGGCTGCTGCCTCACGTATTCAGGGTCACACAGCTGCCTGGTGGTGGAGACAGGATCAATCACAGGTGGTCCCTGCTTTCAATCACTCACCTGCACTGCTTCTCATAAAAGGCAATATATGATGAAAGTACATTCAGAGAGAAAAATGGCTAAGTCAGTGGAAATGAATTGCTTTTCTTTCTTTGAAGGATTATCGATGTCAAAAATTTCAGGAAAAAGGTTTCACTCAAACTGAAGCATTGTAGAAATTTACTAAAGAAATGTAACATGCCGGGAGTAAAGGACATTTCTGGGGAACACTTATTTGTCCAGGAAACCCAGAGAAAAGACTGTGACAGTTACTCACCAACAATGATGATGATGACGATAATCACAATGCTGATCCCAATGGCCCACATCTGTAATGAGATAGAGTTCCCTTCACATTTCAAAATGTGCTTACTGAAGAGTACCAGAGAACAGTATCTTACTCTGGTCACTGGAAAGATTTACAATCTGAAATCATTCGTAATTTTTAGAGTCTAAATGTAATGTTCTCAATTAGAGCCTGAAGGGTACTTGTTTTTATAAGATACGCAAATGATCTGTGGCCCCGAGATAAGCATCTGTTTGGGTGTAAAAGCTTTCCACATTAAGGAAGGGCTACTAAGCTTGTTCCGTGTGTCTATAGGAGTTATTTCAAAAGGCACAAGAGGCAGCGCATGTCTTTGGTGACTACGTAAGAGGGCGTGGGCCCAGTGCAGCTGCTTTCCACTCTCTGGTCCTGCACACTGGGGCTTTCTAGAAGCGCCTTCCTTGGGCTCTGGAGCCATCCACAGCAACACACACAAACCAGGTCAGCAATTTCATCTGTCTCTTGTCAATCTGTGCCCGGGTTTCTGTTGGGGTGGGGGTCAGAAGGGGCTGATGTCTGTGACTGACTTTGAACTTTCTTATTCTGTATGTTCCTAAGGTCAGCCACAAAACATGGAGTCATCCTAAGAGTGCGAATAGGATAAGGGCATGCTCTCAGAGTTCTGGATTCAGACCAATCCCTATTTCCATGTGTAGGAAGCAGAACCCATCTCCCAGATGCACACAAGTCCAGAATCTGCAGCCTTTGTCTACACTCGAGAATCAAGATGGTGGCACAGTAAAAAACAGTTCAAAAAGAATTACCTTGCAATTCTTCCACCAATATTTTCTCTTCAACTTGGCAGCACTCGTTTCAAACTGAGATGCTCCTGCCTGGAGGGCATCTACACGGTCATCCAGCTCAGAAAGCTTCTGATCTCGTTCTAATACTTTGTCCACGTTGACACGCATGATGTCCACCACCTACATGGGTTTGTTGACACCAAGTTATACACAAAGAAACAAACAAAAACTCCCAATATGAAGGGGTTTTAAAAAGTTCATGGAAAAATGGAATGAAAGGATCATGAAATTCCCCACCCTCTGCAAAACCTACTGACACATTTTTTAGTTAAGTCCTTTATTACTTTAGGCCAAACTTACATTTAAAAAAGAAAAAGAAGGGAGGGAGGCAATTTGAATTTGTAAATAAAGAAAGTTTCAGACAGGACAAAATTAGATTTGGTTTCTTAGCACACAAATAAAAAATTTCAGGGTGAAATTCATAAAAGAAATGTACTACATGCCTTAACAAGAGTAACATAGCTTTAACATTGCCTTTTTTAAGACAATTCAATGCAGAAAAACCAAGATATCTTTGTTAGACAGTACCAGTCCAATTTGATTTTCTCAAGCAAGCTTCCCTTGTGGTTCTGCATACATAATGCAGAACAAAAGATGCTCTGATGGTCCCCAGCTCATGACTTCTAGAAATATAGATTTGCTGGGCTACCGCAGTTTGCTGTATATCAATGGCCAACAGTCAAGGACGATTTCTCCAGGGGCTTGCTAAGGATGGAGCAAAGCATTTTGATCAACAGTCCAGTTAGAAAGACTGGTCCTGGCTTTAGTGATTTGAAGACCTAATCTGCAAATTTTTCTAGACTATAACTCTATTTTGCAGAGTGGTTCTTAGGGAACATTCTTCTGGGAGGAGTTTGTGTGCCTTCGGATGTGGTCAAGTTACAGGAAAACTGCAAGAAACTAAGAAATCTGACTTCTGCTTAAATCAGGGCTTCCAGACAACAGGGAAACAATTTTTTGGTTACATTTATCATACTGTCAGGAGTCTTGGTGGCACAATGGTTAAACACTTGGCTGCTACAGGTTGGCAATTCAAATCCTCCCAGTGGTTCTGCGGAAGAAAAGACCTGGCAATCTGTTTCTGTAAAGATGGCACCCAATAAATGATAATGCCATAATTTACTTTACATTTATACTTTCATCATACTTTTTCTAAACAGAATTATTTCCACAGGGCTCCAGAGTTTGTTCAACGTGCATGTTTCCAACACTGCAGAGCAATACCTCATCCACTTGGTTCTGTGTCTGCTGTAGTCTCCGATTACTGCCAGAGGCAGCATTTGAACCTGCAGGTGCGCCTGCAGACCTAAAACACATAAAAACACGAGCATGAATAAATTAGGATGACTTCAAATACATTTTTCTAAGTATAAAGATTTTGTCCCAGAATCTCAGTGTTAACAATTTCTTACAAAGAACAAAAGCTAGAAGGGAAAAAAGTCCTTGCAGTAATGAACAAAGGTTTTAATAAGTATTTCTTCTAATTCCTCTATAATTTCCAACGTTCTCCCTCATATCTGAAGTAAACAAGGTCTAAAGTGAAGTTTTAATAGGATCTGCTTTGTACTATGGAGTCCTGGTGTGGCACTGTGGGTTAATGTGCCAGACTGCATAGCTGTTTGGACTGCAAGGTCAGCGGTTCAAGCTCACCAGTTACTCCTCCGAAACCCTATACAGGGTCGCTATGGATCGGAACCAACTCGACGGCACTTAACAACAACACCACCCTGCCCTATAATAGGGTCACTGAGTGTACTTGACTCACTGGCAGTGAATTTGGTTTCTGGCAAAGGACCAGAGATATAATAGGTGCAATCCTTGACCTCGACCTGAAAAAGTTTAGTGCACAGCAGGCAAAAGTTAAAAGGAATGCACCTTTCTCATTTAATTCTCCTAAATTTTGAAGGAGGATATGCTTATTATCCCTATTTCTTACACAAATAAAGTGAGATTTAGAAAGCCAACACAGCTGGCTGCAATGGAGCCAGTGGGTAAAACAGGTCCTGTTCTAAGATCTTAAGCATCTTCAGCTAGTGGTACGTTAGCCCCAGCAGGTACATTCTGCAGAGTGTTGTCTCCTGGTTCCCAGCAGGAATCCCGGGAGAAGTCCTTATTTCTTTCACTCTGTGAGTGGAGGGGAGATAGAGGGTCCTCTGATTTTAATTCGGATTCTTGGAATGTTACCGCTGGAAACACCACGATTTCAAGGGCTACTACAATAGTGCCTTTGCTTAGAAAGAGAGGAGGACCAGAGCGAAGTAATCCTTCCAAGTTCAGCTGCTCCTGCTTAAGAAAAGGAGCGTTTTGCCCTTCTGAACTGCTCTTGTTTTCAGACTGTAGGTGCAGGCAGGGCCGAGGTCCTTTCCAGTGCAATTTCCGGAACCCGGCCCAGCCCAGCCCTGCGCCTGGCAGAGTAAGCGCTCAGGGAGGGCAGTAGTCGCCGCTCCTCTTAGGGGCTTTTCGGGAGAAGAAGAAGGGGCGAGGCCGGGAGGGGCGGGGTAGGGTGGGACATGCTAGCTTCCTCCGGGAAATCCCGGAGCCCTCCATCGGACGCTGGTGGCGCTGTGGAAACTGGCCTGGTCGGCCCGCAGCCGCCGAGCCCCCCAGGCCTTGAAGCCCCCGCCCGCGCGGCCAGCGACACTGGGCTCTCTGAGGTTCTCAGCGTAGGCTGCCGTCCCCAAGGCCCGAAGTAGCCCCGTAGTCACGTCACGTCACTCACATTTTGGCGGCGGTGGAGGTAGTGGACGAGGGTCTGCGACAGCTCACAACAGGAACCACAACTAACTGGGTAGAGGGGCCGGGCGGCCGGTGGTGCAGCGGCGATGACGTCACCAGGGGCCAGGCGGGGCGCGGGCGCGCCGGAAGTGGGTGGGACGTCTGTGAGGGGTGGAGTCTAAGAGACATTTTTGCGTCCACAACGAGGCCTCCGAGCAGTAAAAACAGTTGTCACTAGGGTACTGAACTGTTTGCGTCACTCTATGAGACGTAGAGTGCAGATCATTAAGCGGGGCTCCCTCTCTCCATGCCTCCTGAGTTGACCGGAGAGAAATAGGAACGACCGAGCCTGCTGCGTGGTCAATACACGTGTTCTGCCTGGCGGTGCATTAGGCACTGAAGGGACTATTGTTGGGGGCCCATTTTTTTGGGCCGATGTACTTCTGCTTATCGTCCCAGATTAACCTAGCGGTCTTGGTGACGCCACGAGTTTCCGAAAGTTACTTAAAAATAGACTGAGAGGAAGTTCATGTTGAATATTTGTCACTGACATTGACTGGGTTAGGTTCTCTCCCTTCAGGTATTCATACGTGACACAAATGTTTGTCATTGCACAGATTGTATTGTTTATGGGAGCCTTGACATCAAGGAATCATTTTCTGTATTCCTAGCATAATAGGGCAGTCCTCGTGTGGACTGCAAGGTCAGTCTGAACCACAAGGTTGGCAGTTCAAACTCACCAGTTGTTCATCGAAAACCCATACAGGTTCGCTATGAGTCTAAACCAACTGAACAGCACTGTAACAACAGCAGGGTAGGGGAACTCGGTAGATCTTTCGGAAACACTCTCAACTGGGAACCACGTGGTCTGCGATTGAACCTACCAACTATTCTGAAGGATAAAGAGACTGACTGCTACCCTAAAGATGTAGTCAGGGAAATTCTATGGAACAGCTGGAAACAACTCGATGACAGTGGGTTTTTTTGTTTGTTAAATTAGAATAAACAGGAGTGTCACATAGAGCATGGGATTTGAGTTGGCTCAGTAGCTGAAAAAGAGAATTCTGCAGGCAGTGAATAGACAATACCAAAGATAATAGTTGAGGGGGCATGGTTTGCACAGACTAAGTAGAAGGTGCAAGTTGGGGGCCTAGATGAAAAATAAGATTGAATCAATTGTGATAAGCAAGCAAGGAAAATGTCATGTAAATGAAGCACTCACGAGGTAGGGAAGCAGACACACGATGCCAAATTGGCCTGGCATAGGGGGTAGATTGGTTGGAAGAACTGCTAGGGACAGAGAAAGAGACTGCAGTGAAAGAGAATGGAACAATGACGTTGACAAAAAGATGGTAAGAACTAATATCAGTAGCCAGCTAGAAATGAATTTTTTTTTTAATTTCAAAGAATGAATTTAGAATGACATCTTCCTTTTCAAAGAACTTCATAGATCTAGGTAAATGCTATTTGAAAGACACAGGGAAAATAAGTATTTGAGGGAGGAACAATGGCCCTGCTTTTTGTTTGTTTTTCACAACATGTCTAACACTGTATGTCAAAATACTGAATCTGGACCAAAGGAAATAGAGTGCTTGAAATTATTTCATTGGGTCTGAAGTGTGCTGATCACCCTGGATTTTAATTATCTGGTAAAGTTAAAGCAAAACACACAAATAGTATGGGGAAATTTTCTTCATTTTTAATTTACAGCAGAAAGAATATAAAGCATTCAGAAAACATTTTCCATATTTTAAGGGCAATTCAAAACATTTTGCATGGTTTCCAGCAGCTGAGTTCTTCAACAGATCCATTGATTCAATGATGCTTTACATGCACAATTACAAAAATAAAACTTACAAAAAAGAAGACATCTAGACTAGTTTTACATGCAAGTCTCAGGGACCCCCCATTGGGCGCCAACTACTGTGTGGAACTGCCATAAGCGACCGTGCAGCCAGAGAGGGGTTCGTGTTTATTGTCTGTATTTCGTTCACACAGTACAGCTGATTTCAAATGGGTAACAAGAATAGCAATTAAATCTTCAGGAGACAGAATAAGATGAGCTATTAATTTTATAATGAAGTCCTACTCCTGGCACTTGGGAATTCAGATTATCCAAGAAAGCTGTGCTTACCTATCATCGTATATTCAAAATTAAGATTCACAACCAAGAAAAAGCGGTCGGAAATGCATCGTTTCAGTGGAAGTGCATTTTAACCTCACCTAGGAATCACAGTTGTAATGGTAGGTTACACTGGTAGGGTTTGAACCTACATCCTGTCCCTTCCATAAGAACCCACCGAATTAATTCTATAATTAGTCTTTATCTTCCAGAATCTTCTAACTTATCCAGCTAATAATGTAACATGTGAAACATTAAAAAAAAAAAAATTAATGTGAGGGTTAAAGCAAATCCACTGAGGTCATTACTCTTGTCAAAATATCAGTTCGTTTTGCCATAATAAATAGAATCAACATATCTAAGTTCCATTTTAATAGAGGATAGTCTGAAAGAGCTGGCTTTCACATTCTGTTCCCATTTATGAATGCAGTTGCGTTTGTAAATTACTCAGTGTCCTTCTGTAGGTCAAATTGGGAAAAATAATGGGTATTTGGGGGACGGCAACAGCTGTAACATAACCCACACATTTAAAAACAAAATTGAGTCAGGTCAGTTTACAAATGTAGAGGTGGCTACTAGTTGTGGGGCTGTCACTGTTGTCAAAGCTGATCACAAGCAGTAAGACGTATACTGTACAGTAATTCGAGGTTGGCAGTGAAAGGAAGTAATTAAAAACAAGTACAATTATAGAAAAGGCACCAAGAGCACTGACCCCAGTTTTTACCACAATCTGTTTTTTAAATCTACCCTCCTTCTGAAGACACCAGTTTAAAAGCTTCTTTGTGAATATTTTTAGGCTTCACAACAAGCCTTGAGTTTTAACTTACAGTTGGTAGCCAGACCAAGAAAAAGAAACAAAACAGAAAACTATTATCTCAACTGATCCTCAAACCACCTGGGAATCTTAAACTGGCATCAGCAAATGCGAACTTTATCCTCTCAATTTCATCCGAGTAGTTTAATTTTTTAAAAACATCAGGTTTCTTTGGCTCCTCATTATGTGGAAAGCGTAATATATACCATGACATCCCTGGGACACCAGCTTACATCTTTAAATTTTTTCACTTATCTTTTTATGCAATTTTTATGACAGTTTTCTGATTTCCAGCAGGAGATATGAAAACGTGAGACATTTTTCTACTTTTCATACTGTTTCTTTCATCAGGTTGGGATCATTCTAAGTGTTCTTTGTGGGAGTGAGTGGATGGTGTTAAGCTATATACTGATTCATCTTATGATTATCTGCTTTGCAAAAGTAACTTAATTTTCTTAAGCAATATTAGCATTCACATTACTTGGCACCATTGGCAAAAAAATTTGAAATAAAATTAAATAAACTCCCCGTAGCCAAAATTAAATGTAAACATATCCTTTTTTTTTTTTTTTTAAAGTAATGTTACTCTGCCTTTTTTCCTAAGTCTAAATACAGTAGCTCTTTTTTTTTTTTTTTTGCAGTTTAGTCATGCTTTAGCAAAATGTTCTTCTAAAGAACATTTAAAATAAAGTACTCTTATAGTGAAATAAAGTTTTTTTTTTTTGTTTCATTTTACAGACCATAGCCACTAATGCTTTGCTTTTGTTCATTTCTTTTTTTCTTGGTTTCATGCACATATCTCTTTGTTTTAATATATACAATATATACAAACAATACATCCACATTTTTTCTCGCTTCATTCAGACAAAACTATACAAATAATTTTATCTTGGCATGTTATTGACCTTTGTGAATAAAATATTTAGCAATTAATATAATCCCTTTCAAATATTTTCTCACTTTCCATTTCTACCTTCTCTATATATACACAGAAACTGCTCAGTTTTGATGAGAGATAGCCAAAAATAGGGAATTTACTGGCCGGAACGCAGCACCACAATGATCTTTTTTTTGTTTTTTTTAAGTGGCAAATGTCCAGGCAAGGTTTATGATTCCTTAGAATGACTACAGTTTCAAAGGATACTAAAAAAATCTACATGCTCGACTAATTCTCCTAAGTAATTCTCATTGCACATGAAAGTAAGGCAAAAAATTAAAGTGCTGATCATGAGAAAAGGGACAAGATGATGATTATACTTGCAGGTTTCTTGGGAAGTGGTAGGGACAAGAGAAAAGCAGTTTGAATTTTGTACTCCATTACTCCGTCGTTCCTATGCATTATCCGTTTACCACACACCCACCCCTCTGCGTATTTCCACAACACATCCCAAACCTGCAGATTGGAAAAG